TTTTTTTTTTTTTGCTAAAGAAAACACATCTGTTACTTCAGCAAGGGAGAAACTTTAATAGATACACTGATAATTTATGTAAGTCTTTCTGAACTTTGGCTTAACCTTCCAAACACATAATTTAATTAGCAACTACCATATCTTACTTAGCTGAGGCTGTCTTTAGGTGGGAGGGGGCTTTGCATAACAGCACATTGCTATAATATAGAATGTGTATACTTACCTTTCATCCCAAATGCAAACCTTGTATGTTTTTACTATTCAGGTGCCTTTTTAAAAATCTTTTTTATTGCTGTTACCAGAATATTCATGCTAAAGAGCAACTCCACAAATGTGATTAATATTTAAAGATGGAATCAAGACAGCATGCTCCAATCTTCCTTGCTTTCCCCAAATCCTTGGAAATGACAGAAAATGAGCAAAGAAATCTATAATGACAACATAAAATAAGAAAGTACCCCCTAGTTGGGCCAGGAATTATGAAGGATTGCACAGAGAGAGAGAAAATCCAAAATACGTGTTGAATAAGACATAACAAACGTGTCTCAGTATTACCCCAGGTCATGGATGCTGGAAGCTGGACTCAGGATGGGGCTGTAGGGTACTGCCAGAGGGACTACTAAGTAGGTGGGCCCCTCACTACCCTTATTTCCAAGCAGAGGCTTCTGCCCCAGGAGCAAACAGTGAATGTGGACACTGGAATGAAGAAGCAGGGCAATGTGCCCCGTGCTAGTCCTCACCCAAGGGCACATCTGCCCCCAGCCAGTGGGCATTTTTACACTGAAACTAAAAGAAAATAGCAGATACAGATTGCAGCAAGTGATGTGGAATCACCAAATCTGAGAAAAGTCAATTCCAACTTTAAAAAAAAAAAATCAAACTAAAGAACTAAGAGCTGAGTAAATGAAAGTAACAGAATAAATAAATAGACATTTTACAAGAAGTATAATAAATATCCTCAGGAGGATATAAGAGCATACTGCATTTGTGAAATTAAAACAGATTTTATGAGGAAAAACAATTAGAGATGTGAGAAATGAAAATATATGATTGTTGAAAAAAATTAATGGATTGTTTTCCTGGATTTCAGTATAGACAAAGCTGAAGAACAATTTTGTGAGCTAGGAATTTGGGTCTTGAGATCTTGTATCATTAGATATAAGAAAAAGAGACATTAAGTATGGGGAGAAAATTGGTACTTCTAACCTTAGAAATAATAAGAATTTCCAAAAAAGAGAGAATATGTGGAATGAAATAATCAAACAAAAAATTGAAATAAGTTCCCACGTTTAAAAAGGAGATGATGATGACAACCTAGTTGCTACGAGTGAAAATGTTAGCAAGATGAATGGAAAAATACCCACTCTAGACTGTCAGGGAGAAATTTCAGAACACCGATAAAAGAGGAAATTCTAAAAGCTTCTAGGTGAGATTCATTGTACTTTCGTTGGTAGCATGAAGTATAATTTTTTGTTTTTTTATTTCAGGGTATTGTGAGGGTACAGACATTAGGGTTACACTTTATGTTTTTGCCTCACCCAAGTGTGGGTTAAAGACATGCCCTTCTGGCCCTACAGTGCTCCCCGTGTCCTTTAGTTGTGGATTTACCCCCCCCCCATTCCCCTAATCCCTGGAGAGTATTATCTTAAAGTTCTGCAAGAAAATTATATGGAGTGTAAAATTCTTTTTCCAGCCATATTATCATCATCAAATATTGGGAAAAAATAAAAAACCTTTTCAGACACACAGGATTTAGAAAGTTTACCACCCCTGAACCCTCTCTGAAAAAATTCCTATATTAATACATTCCTAGAAATTAATCCAAAAGGAAGATGAGATAACCAAGAAAGAGTAGTGTACAAGTGAAAAAGTACAACTTGTAGTTCAGTCTAAATAAGTATTGATTATTTTAAAATCTTAACAAAAATTTGAAGTTAAAACCCAGAAGAACTCAACATGACAAGTATAGAAGGTGGTTGACAAGAAGAGAAGCAGAATAAGAAAGTAAAATACTTCCAGAGTTCTTAATCTGCTTAGGATGAGGATATAGATCTTGGTTACATCTTAATGTTTATAGAAAACTCTAAGTACAAATATAAATATGTGTGTTAAAAAATTAGATAAGCCTGATAGAGGCTACATAACTTCTAAAGTATTAGGTTAACATAGAACAAAGAAATAATCAATTCAGCAAATGTCAGGAAAATTTAAAAAGTAAACAATAAAAAACAGGGTAAATAGAAAATAGAAGACAATTTGTCAGGAGCCAATCTAAACATATCAGTAACATGATAATTTGAGTGAGTTATATTCACTTATTAAATGAGATTCTCACAATAAGTTTTTAAAAATTGGCTCTGTATTTGAATTTTATAAGAGACTTAACCTAGAATAACACAAGAAATTGGAAGTCAGAGAGAAACTAATAGACCAGGCAAATGCAACAGAAGAATCAAGGAGGCATATAAAAATCAGATAAAATAGAATTCATGCTTAAGCATTAAAAGAGCCAAAAGGTATATTTCATGCATCAGTATATGTTGAGCACTTTGCATGATGCATGGTGCATAATAAGCAATTAAACAGGTTAAAAATTAGTTATTATTCCAACCATAATTACTATTTGTAATGTGATATGTCCAAAGTGGTACTCAAAGGAAAATTATGCTAATATTAATTATGAGATATAAAAGAAACACAAAGTTAAATAGGCCAATGAAACCTAAATTGTTCTCCAAACAAACAAGTAAAAAAGTCATCAAGAAAAAAACAACATTAGTTAAAATGATAATGGGATATGTTTAAAAACCATGCAAATGCTAAAATGGATCAGAGTAAAGTCATTGCAAGCTGTTAAAAGATAAGTATTACTTCTTCCTTGTTCTGATTTTCTTTTTTTAATTTATGATTTTTCTTTTGAACTAGGTTCTAATATTGGTTTCTTTGAACTAATTTTTTTATGCTTTGAAAATAAAAACAAATAATTTTTCAAATGACAAAAAAAAAATCTCTACATGCTAAAGTTGTTCTGGAACTCCTTCATAGACATTCTAAACATTTCTTGAATTTATAGCACATTCACACACTGTCTTTGCTCTTGGCACTGCCATTCTTTTTTTTTTTTTTTTTTTTTTTTTACATTTTCAGCTTTTTTGTTAAAAACTAAGACACCACACACACATTAGCCTAGGCCTTCACAGGGCCAGAATCATCAATATCACTGTCTTCCTCCTCCACATCTTGTCCCATCGGAAGGGCTTCAGGAGCAAAAACAGGCATGGAGCTGTCGTCTCCTAAGTTAACAGTGCCTTCTTCTGGGATACCTCCTGAAGAACCCACCTAAGGCTGTTTTACAGTTAACTATTTTTTGAAAAGTAGGAGTACACTCTGAGATAATGATAACAAGTAGAGTATAGTAAATACATAAACCAGTAACAGTCATTTATCATTATCAAGTATTATGTACTGTCCATAATTACATGTACTATACTTTCATATGTCTGGCAGAGCAGTAGGTTTGCTTCCAGCAGCATCACCACATACCCATGACTAATGCGTTGCGCCTACTGTATGCAGGCACTGTGCCACAACCTGGAATACAGCAAGGAACCAAACGGACATGATCCTTGCCCTGTTAAACTCACTGTCACTGGGCCTAACTGATATTTTTTGTCCAATTGTTTTTCTTCATTTCTATTTCCTTTTAAGAGCATATAAAACTTAAAAGAATGTTTGATCTTTCATTTATTAGCACATCTCTATATATGACTTATTACTAAAAATGTTAATGTAAACTTATAATTTTTAAAAGTAAATACTATTTACTCAGTTCCAGAGTTTGATCTTGCCTTTGACTGTTCACTCTAAGTGGAAGACTATAAGTTAAAAAAAGTGTCCCAGAAATTATTTTTATTTATTCTTTTTAAGTGTTCTTTTGGGGAATTAACAGAGCTTGTAATTTTCCAGCTCTTCACTGGGGACATCACACAACTTCTTAGGTCTGGTCAGAAACTTTTACACAAAAGCTGGCTGGGAATATATGATCATATGTGGGTTTACTTTGACCTTTTCTGTATTCCATGTTTTGATTAGCTGGCTATGCTACTCATATCCCATTTACAGACAAATTGTGAAAGACTTGAATGGCAAGTCGGAAATATATGGAATATTGAAAAGGTCAGTGAGATTTAGCCCATAACCACAGAATTTAAAATATGCGACAAGTCATTATCAGACTTAATTCTCACAACAAGGACTGTGGTAAAGATGGGAAATTATCCCAATTAAAATATTCTCATTTCATACTGAAGGCTGAGATGGCAAAGCTCAAATGCCCTCTTGACTCCTTTTTTGTGATAACTTAATAAGTTAGAAAGAAATTGTAATTGAATTAAACAAGGCGGAAAAGGAGGTAACAAGTTCTTTTGAAAGTCCACTGTAGAGAGAATAATATAATGGCTTTTCTAAAAACTCTAATTATACATGAGTAAGACAGATACAGTCACAAAACCAATTCAACAGCCACCCCATGCTCTCTTTTTATCTACAGCATAGCTGTCAGTCAGATGGGAACTCCATTTATTTCCATGGAAATGAAGGCAGTGAGTTCAATTTTGCCACCACCCGGGACGTAGATCTTTCCACAGAAGATATTCAAGAGCAGTGGTCAGAAGAATTTGAGAGCCAGCCTACAGGGTAAGTAATTGCTATCCCCCATGCTGTGTACAGCACTTACTTTTATTCCACTGGACACATTTTAAATAGCAAAAGCATCAACCCTGATGATTCTTATCATAGACAAGCCAAAAGGGGTACACTTACCCTAAAGAATCTTTATTAACTAATCAACTATTTTTATGCATATTAAAAATTTTCTGATGGCAAATACCTTTAAACTTCACTTGAATCACTTATATTTCAGCTTATTCAGCTTTTAGTGGCAGAGAGTTTTTTTCCAATGTTTACAGAATACAAAGTCCTTCCACTACTATTATATTGAGATGTTCATTTGTCTTCCTGGGATCTGAGATTTATGGATGCTGCTACCTGATCTTCATTGGAATGTGGTTTTGATCTATAAAAATTGTTTAGGGGATGAAATTTATCTTTGGGAGATTTATAAAGGAGGAATTTGAGACTGGGGTTGAAATAGAGGAGACCTGAGGCAGTGAGGCTGGTTTGGTGGTAGCATTTTCTTGCTGTGCCATGTGCCTTTTTCTGGGTCCTAGGTCCCTAAGATATCTCTTACTAATTGAACAGCACTTTCAGAAGTTCAAATTGCATAAAATGAATAGGTTCAGGGAATCAAAATCCATAAGGTAGCATCAGTTGGAGGCAAATGTATGTTTTCTAACACTATGATAAGGATGAATGAAATTAACATAAAATGTAATTTCAGAATTGATATGAAGAGCAATAATTTAACTGTTAACTGTGAGAAACTTTTCCAGATCATAACATTGAAGGTATAGTCATGTCACTCTGATCTCAACAAATTAAATACAAACTGATTAAACTTCTAAGTGTCTGAGTGGCAAGAAGGCCAGTATTGCTCCTTTGGGCTCCTGCTTCCTGTGCAGTGCCCAAGAACCTCCTTCAGACCCAATGACAGGGAAATCTGACCAGCAGCCTGAGCCACTACTGCTGCTGTGAGTTTTTGCTGCCACACTGGGGTCTCTCACTGTTGAATGCTGGATTTCTACTGTGGCAGACCCAGCCCTGCTCCTCCTTGCCTCAAGGAAGTCGCTCAGGTCTGCCAGGGTGAGCCTCTGAAGGAGGCTGACACTGAGTGACTCCATCCCCCCAGGGCCTGCCATTGACCTCTCCAGGCTCAGCACCAATGCTCAGACTCTTCATCCACACGGCCCTTCTCTTCTGAGGCTCCTGTCACTCTTGAAACTCCATGTCCAGGGCAGCTCTAGTGTCTCCTTGAGTGACCAGCAACCACTGTTCCTCTTTTCAGTCTCTAGCATCCCCCCAGGACTCAGGTTATTCTCCTTTATAACCTTGGGACCACATGAGGGCTCATGCCACTCACAGATCGAAGAGCTTTGATGGACTCCAGAGCTTTGACAATGCACAAAGGCTTTTAACGTACCTTCTGGAGATAAAAGATCCATCACCAGCATGTCAGTTCTTTCTTCCTAACCCCTGAAACAAAGACCAATCCAGTTCCCTTTCCTGGTTATGGAGCTTGACTGCCTATGAGGGGATCCAAAATGTTGAGGCACAAGGGACTCATTTGCCCTCCTCCTTCATCTCTCTAGCTAACACTGTCCATGTATCAGTGATGCGTCGTCCTTGTCAGGGAGTCCCATGTGGCCTGGGCACTCAGATAATTCTCTGGTGCCACCAGCCCCCAGCCCACTAAAGCAGAGATAAAAAGACAAGTTTCCTCTCCAGGAGTACCATTCTGAAACTCAAATAAATCCCAATATCTCTCTCTCTTTCTCCCTCCCTCTCTCCCCACCTCCCTCTCTCCCCACCTCCCTCTCTCTTCCTTCCTTCCCTTCTCTCTCCCTCCCACCCCCCAGTAAAACTTGACATTTTAAATGTCACTTACTCTTACTGTTTTGGAAAAAGATAAAATTTACTTTTACCTTTGACCTTCATACCCAGATATTCCCTGTCCCAGATTGCCCACCTCTTTTTTGTTTGTTGTCTATAAAAGCATACAGAAACGCTTTAGTAGAAGGACGAATAGTCAGTCCATCCAGCTCTCTGTTAGTAACATTTGTGGAGACTTGGTACAGAAACATGAAAACCCCTCCATGAATTAAGCTTAGAAAGGAATTAACTTGATATTAGAAGAAACCAAACAAATTTTAGAAAATTAATGTACTAGTCCAGATTCATAGCTGGGAAAATATATGTATTCCCATTAATAGATCAGACATTCTGTTTTCAACAGAGCACTAACAATATAAGAGAATTTTTGGCTATAATCAAATCAATCATCCCCCAAAACAAAAAAAGAACTAAAAGCGTTCATGCCCGAAAAAAGAGCTGAAGTCAATATAGACACAGAGGAACATCAAAGGAAATTCTGTTCATTGAATGACTCAGGTGGCTTTAATTATGCTGTCTGGACATTTCTGAGGACTGAAGATTTACCAGGGTTCTGGTCACAGTTAAGAAGCCGGTACTATCAGGCCATGGCACTGCCAGCAGGTTTCTGTTCCAATAATATATATTAATAATGTGCTTGACTAAAGCACCTGTGCCACTAAATTGTTCTGCAATTAATTCATCTAAATTCTAAAAGTAATATAATTATTCTAGCAACCACACCTCAGGTTTATTTGTGACTTTTGCCTCAGGATACCAGGCCACACCACCAGAATTATTAATACTTCGCCCACGCTGTCGTCTGGCAGCCCAGTTATGAAGTTGACATTATTTTATCAAGGTATTCAAGGATATGAGAAGCTTAGTATTTTCTGTCTTTTGGATGATGATAAAAATGCTGGGTTAATCCATATTGTTTGGCGGGGGGTGGGGAGGTCTTCCCCACTCCCACGTAGTCCCAAATGTTGCTTTTTGATCTAGGAAAGAATGCTGATGTAACGATGTTTAATCATAGGTTGAGGAAAAAAGATTCTGTCACAAAATCAAATTAATGTACAGCATTTTTACCTGGGATAAGAGCTGACAAAGAAAAACAGATTAAGAATTTGGTGGTGAAACTCTTGATGTGTTCTGTTTTCTCTGCCCGGTTTATTGACTATTTGTCTCATTTTTCTCTGCCACCACCACTACCCACGCGAACAATTTGTCATTATAAGCTCATCTGCTAAAATAGACAGAAAATGTAGATGGCAAACCCTCACTCTGTTCAAGAGTGACCAGTTGAAGTCATTGAACTCTGCAGCTTTGAATTCAACTTTATTCACCGTCAAGTTTCAAATGACACTTTAAATTTAAAAAATTAAATTATTAGTATGGATATAATACTTTCATCTCCTTTAGCTGTGTTTTCCTCCCATAAGAATTATGAGAGAGAAAAAAGAATATACCATTATCTCTAAGATTTTCAAAATACTTAATAGGAATTGCAAGAAAGAAAAGAAAGCCACTAAACCATTACGGCTTTTTTTTTAGAAACCACTTTCCCAATTATCCATATTTTCCTACCATTTGAATCAAAGTATTTGATCTTAGATCACAAAGATGCAAAAGCTGTTTGCCTTTCACATCACTAAGCTGTCCCAAATCCAAAGTTGTTAAGTTTATTTTTTAAGTGGTATTTTAAAGGTTTTTTTTTTTTT